CCCCCCCCCCCCCCCCGCCACGCAGGTGGCGCAGTCCACCCTTTCCAAGATGGAGCTCGACATCAACCCGACACAGAGCGGGGGGCGCAGGCAGCGGCAGCCCCGTCTCGGCGCGTGAACCGCCATTCCGGCGAGGCCCGTGCCCGTCTCCCCACATTGGGTGTACGGCTTTAGCACACGCCTTGTGCGCTGCCGCCGGCTTGCAAGATAGACAGAAAACAGGGGGGGGGGGGGGGGTGTTTTCATACCTTCTTTTGACTGTGCATGAGAATGAAAAACAACCAAAGAAGTCGGCCCGGGGAAACACGTGTTTGTTCGTTTGATGACCGCCGCTTTCGGGGCCGCCAAGTACCGTCGATCGCGCAGTGTGTTCGATGACGGTAATGGCGCACGCCCTCGGCCTCGGGGCCGCGCTCTCCGGGCACGGCGGCGGCGAGCCGCTCCTCACTGTGGCGGGCTATGCGAGCCTCGTTGACGAGAGGTCTGCACGCGAGACTGTGCCGACGCTCCGCCGCTTTCGACGCGGCACGGTGAGGGATCACTGCCGCATCTTCAACCTCGTCTCTATCATCAATCTCTCGCGCGGCCTGGCGAGCGGCCGCCGCCTCGCCACCGCCACAGCTCGCCCGCAGCTCGGGAGTGACCTGCTTGTGGCCCTCTTCGACCTTCCTCTCTCCGAGCTTCCCGCCCTCCTCGCGCGAGAGAGGAGGCTCCGCGTCTGCTGCGTGCCGTACGAGGAGGCTGGCGGCGCACGCGGCCACGCGGCCCTCTTTGGCGAGTACACACACGCCGAGTACCTCAGCGAGCGGTGCGGCGGCGACCCGCACGCCTACCACAACGAGGTTGGCCGGTGGTATCCCGAGGGCGAGATCTACCGGCCGGACCTGCTGCCCGTGCCGTCGTACGTCCTGCGCTGCGTGCGCGCGCACCGTGTCGCCGGCCCGGCCGCCCTCGCCAACCTGCTCGACGAGAGCTTCCTCGGGGATGGAGAGACGTCGCTGCGCACGCAGCTGCGCCGGGAGCTGCAGCCACAGTGCGCACCCGAGAAACAGGGGGCCGGGGATCCTCCGCCGGGAGGTGACGACTCGCCGTGGACCGAGGCGGAGCGGCAGGAGCTGCGATCGGTGCTCGGCCTCGACAGCACGTGAGACGTGCCTCGAGCGCGAGAGCGATCTCGGATTTCTCTGTTCTCAGTCTCACAGTTGTTGGGCCAGCCTATTGTTATAGCCTTGTTAGCTGTTAGCCTATTCTCTGCTGAAGTCGTTTCTCTCGCGACCCGCGTGCCGCGACGCCCTCGCCCCCCCCCCGTCCCGCGGCCAGGGTGCAGGGAGCAGGGGGTCAGGGGTCAGGCACTGTGTGTTGGTTTTGGAATTGGATGTGGTTTTGGTGCTCTTTGGGGGGGTATACTAGAGGCTAAGTTCTGTCTTTTCTGAGGTGTCAGGTGAGGGCCTTGAGGCGGGGAGAGAGACCCCGGGCGCCGCCACAAGGAGCGAACTCAGGGGCTGCCTCGTCTGTAAGGCCGCGAGGGACGCGGCGCGAGGAGGGCAGCACTAAGGCGGGCCACCCGCTGTGTCCGAGGAAGACGAGAACCCGCCTAGAGCAACGATGGCGCACTTTCTTTTAAACTCCCAAAATTCTTTTTTGGCGGCGAGGAGGAGTCGGCTGCTGCGGCGGGTGAGTCGGAGGAGAAGGTGGTGGGGGCGGAGAAGGAGGAGGAGGAGGAGGAGCAGCAGCAGCAGCAGCAGCAGCAGCAGGAGGAGGACTTCGACTTGGAGGTGTGGCGCCAGCAGATGCGGCGGGCGGCGATGGACGACGACGATGAGGAGGGCGCAGCGGCGCTAGACGAGGCAGCGGCAAAGGTCGCCTGCCGTGAGGTAATTCAGCATACCGACCCCTTTGGGTCGGTGCAGCACTATCCCGACAGATCACCCCAGGCATCGCCATCTACCTCGATGAGTGTGCCCCATTCCCTCTCTGACCACTTGGCAGGCGACCGCCTCCACTCGGCTCAGCCGGCAACCGCTCACTGCCCCGCTTCAGGGGTGGTTAACACGTGCCAACCCCCGATCTGGGATGGCTGTGAGACTTCGCGCTCTGCAGACCTACCCTCAGCCTCGTCTGACGTCTTTTGGTTTTCCTCTTCACCGTCTACGCCTACTGGCAGCTCCCGCCGCGCGCCGTCAGCTCGTGGAGCCCGTGGACTCCCGTCGCGGCGCAAGAAGGCTGCGCGGCCCGCGGCGCCCGTGGAGTCCGTGGACTCCAGCCCGCTCGAGTGGGCGGGCGCTGCGGCTGCGTGCGAGCGGGTGATGGCACGGGCATATTGGCTACTGCCCGAGCCATCTCTCGGGGGCTGCCCGTCGGGATACTTGCCCGACGGCAGCTGGGGCGGCTGGGTGCCCACGCACTTCTCGGGCAAGGGCCGCTGGGTCGCCGGCGAGGAGCCGAAGGAGCTGGAATTCGTCGACGGGGTGTTGTGCGAGGTGGTGTATGCGCTGGATAAGCAGCTGCGCTGGATCGAGAAGAACATCCAGCCCGGCACAAAGCGCGTGCAGGCGCGCTTGCGGGCGGAGGAGCTCGCGATGAAGAACGGCGACAACGAGCGTGTGGTGGAGGCGCGCCCGGTGCGGGTCCCGCCCCGGCCGTTGATGGACCCGCCGACGCCAGTGGCGCGTGGGGCGGGTCCCGGCGCCGACCAGGAGGACTTTGCGCTCCGGGAGTGGCTCAGGTGCTCCTTCGGGATTATGTGCATGAGTGATCGTGACCGCGAGGTGGTGAGGGAGGCGGTGCGGGAGCGGATCCGCCCGGTGGAGGAGGCGGGGAAGATGCTGGAATGGGACTGGGGGAGTGAGCAGCTCGCGGTTGCCGAGTCGTGCCTGCCATCCCGTGTCGCGGAAGCGAGGCGGCGAGTGGCACAGGAGCTCTGGGTGGTGGGGTGGGAGTGTGTGGGTGCCCGCGCCGCCTAGCTCTGCGGACGGGCCGCCCCTCCACCCCTCACGTACGGGTCATGTAGTCCCCACAATCGTTGTGCTCGTTTTTTTCTTCCTCTTTTTTCGGCAGGCCCCTTTCCAAGCGTCATCAACCATGTTCTCCCTGGTGACTGGCTCGCTCTCGCTCAACGTCGGCCTTCGCGCCGTCGCGCCGTCGCGCACCGCGCCGTCGCGCACCGTCGCGCCGTCGATGAACTACTACGCAGTCTTCCACAACTTCAAGCCGGGCAAGGCGGACGAGTTCTGGGGCGCTATGGGTGATGTCGACTTCGCGGCGATGGCCGAGGCGCAGCACGAGGCGGGCATATACAACCACTACTTCATGCCGAGCGACGTCGAGGGCCCGATCATGTGCCTTTGGGAGTGCAAGGACAAGGAGATGGGCTCGGACGACTTCCAGGCCTTCATCGACGGCCCCGAGTCGCCCGCCGCGGACCTCATGAACAAGGTGTACCCGATTAACGGCATGGGCGTGACGCCCTCCTCGGCGTGGCCGACGATGCCCGCCGCGCCGACCAAATCGTCGGGATCCTTCTTCTGGGTGAAGCACACCTTCAACCAGGGCGAGGCGCCTGCCTTTTGGGAGAGCATGGCCACCATCGACATGGAGGCCTTTGCGGCGGCCAACAAGGAGAAGGGCTTCGTCAACCACTTGTTTCTGCCCACGACCGACCCGTCGACCGTCTTCTGCGTGTGGGAGTCGAAGGCGCCCATGACCGTCCCCGAGTTCACCGCCTTCATCGATGGACCGGAGGGACCCTCGCCGGGGACCTTCGCCAACGCGGCCTACGCGGTGATGGAGGGCGGCACCGTGCCATCGGCGGCCTTCCCGGTCTCGTGGCTCGACGAGACCGTCGCCAAGATCGAGGAACTCCTCCCGCTCAAGCTCGACGACATCGTCGCCAAGCTCAAGGAGTTCCAGGCCGCCAAGTAGCCGCCGCGCACGTCTTTGTGTAAAGTGTATGTGTTCGTGTCCAGCGGGCGAAGACTTGGCCGCATGCATGTGCGCCATGACTTTGTACCATCTCGGGTGCGCGGATTGCCCGCCCAGTTCTTTTTGCAGTGCTAGTGTGTGCGCGCGCGCTAGTCCCGTGCCCAGTCGCCAGTGGTTTTTGGTTTGTTTTGAGTTTTGTGGTTGCCTTGAGTCATGAGTGTCTGGTCACTAGAGTGCCGCTTCTAATTTTTTTGAGCATCAATGTCGTGGCCGCCCCCGCGACTAGAAGAAAAATTCGAACGCCGCACAGTAGGAGGAAGCGGCCGGGACGTACACGATTCGAGAATATTTTTCTTTTTCTCTGGGACCATGTGGTCCATGCACATGTGTAAGCAAGCCGCCGCGCCTCGCCTCCCCCAGCCGCCGCCGCGTGCGTCGCTCTCCTCGCCGGCCTCGCCTGCCTATCCCTCCTCCGCCGCCGCCGCTCTCGCTTCGCCCTGCTCCGCTCCTGCTCCGAGGTGCCGCCCGCGACGCGTGCCGCGCTCCAGCGCCACCGCTGGCTGCCGCTCCGCCACTCGGCGATCGAGGCGGCGCTCGACCCCCGCTGTGTCCGATCGTGCGGAAAGCCGCGCAGCAATGGACCGAGGAAGACGAGAACCCGCCTAGAGCAACGATGGCGCACTTGCTTAGCGGCGCCTGCCTGGGGAATAGGGAGCAGGCCAGATGGTTCCTCAGAGTAGCGCGAGCGCAGACGGGGACGGCGATAAGCAAAGTACCAGCACAGGCGGCACCCGACTCCAAGGATACGCTGAAGACGCTGAGGATAGCGCATGTCGCTGCGCTGAAGGGCTCACGCTATAGGGTGCTGGAGGACGGGTACGATGCACTAGCCCCTGCCGTCGGGGGGGTGTTGCCGGCGCTGGTAGATGATCTCTCGGAGAAGAGTCGGAGGGACCTTGGCGCCGGGGTCACGAGGAACTTGCAAGTCGTGGCCGAGGCGGCGACGGGAGCGGTGCAGAGGTGGATCCAGCTCAATGATGAGGCTACAGCGCGCATAATGAAGAGAGAGGAACACATCGAGTGGCTGAGGAAGCTCTTCACTGGGTGGAAGGAGGCCCGGCCTTGACGGAGTCGCGGAGGAGGAGGGATAACGCAGGCAACGCAGGGACGGGCCAACAGCCTGTGGGACGAACGAGGGCCGCGACGGCGGCTCAAGCGGGAGGGAGCGGAGACAGTGGGCAGCGAGCGAAGTGGGTGAGACTGATGATGCTCCTTCGCCTTAGGGAGCGGTTCAGCAGCTGGGCGGGCTTCAGGGTGGTGCTCACGCGAAAAGGAATCCACGCGATGTACAAAGTACGTACAAGAAGAGGAGAAACAAGAGGCGGGACACCGGTGATGACGAAACAGAAACTAGCGCAGACGAGAGCAGGGCAGAGCCGGGGACTGGGGAGCCGGAGCAGACGGCATCGGCCGCCGAGGGAACGTTGGGAAGAGGCACGAGGAGGGCGGCGACCTCGACCGACTATGGAGGACCCGTCACCAGACGACGCAGGGCAGACGACGGTGAGGCGGACCAGACGCGCAGGGCGAGACGAGGGAGGGAGCAGGACGTTGCGGAGATCAGCAGGAGGATGTACGAAGAGATTAGGAGCAGCAGGGACCCGAGGGACAATGTGGAAGACGGCTAGTGCTAGTCCCCCATCGGGAGGACGACCCCGGCTAGTCGCCGACCACACCCACAAAGAACCCTGCACAAAGATCGCACGGGCGGGGACCTGTTCCTTTTTACCCACCTCCTCACAGTAGAGGTGTCCGTTTTTATTTATTTATTTCGAGGCTTAACGGGTCTAAAAGTGTGACCGGTCACGCTGGGGTGCTTACGCGGTCTAAGATCGGCGGGAGCCTCTTATGCGGGCTAAGTCGGCCGTGATCATTAGGGTTGCCTCAAAATTTTCTTCGTCTGCGGCGGCGCGTCGCGCGACGGCGCCTGCGCCGTCGCAACTTGCGCACGGAGGCTGAGAGCGGAGGAGGGCGCGTGCGCGGCAAGTGTGGCGACGGCGCTTGTAGCTTTTTGACCCATGGGGTCGTCGACGACGACGTGCAAAATATCCAGGGTTTACACTTTTTTTATTTTAGCAGACCGCGGGCCGGACCGCGACCGGGGCGCGCGGGGCGGCGGCCTGGCTGGCGCTGTGGCTTTGGGCGCCCGAGGCGCGGGGGCGGGGGGGCTCGCCTTGCAGTGCTGCAGAGACCCGGAGACGGTGGCGGCGGAGAGGAAGGCGGAGGAGAGGGCAGATGGTTTGGCGGTGGAGGGGAGGGAGGCGAGGGAGAGGGCGACGGGTATTATGCCACGTCTACGTAGACGTACAGACACGCGAGGACGAGCTCGAACGAGCGACGACGTACACTGCGCAAACGACGAACTCCTGCCGCTCCGCTTGGTCCGCGGCGAATGCCTCTGGTCTCTCTATCTCTCTATCTTCACACTGCTACGGTGGGGCGGGTGTAGAGGCTCGAAAGCGAATATATGCGCAAAAGCTGTGCACCGATCAGGAGGTTCTCAGCGGAGGGGACACCAGCACCACGCCGTCGCCGCGCACAAACAGCATGTCGATCTGCCGCTTGGAGGTCTTGATGATCTCCTCGTACGTCTCCTCGTCAACCTCGATCGTCGTCACCGTCTCCTCCACCTCGCCGAGCACCATGTTGAGGTGCTGGTCGAACGCCTGCCGCAGGGGAGGGAGGCGCGGCGGCGGTCGAGGGGCGGCGAGACAGTCTCGCGGCGATGCCGCGAGCGCACGTGGAGCCGTCCCCGCAGGTCGCGGTCGCCGCGGAGTTTGACGAGGATGCGCTCGTCGAGGGAGAGGCGGACCTGCGGCGGGGAGGCGGCGCGGTGGGGGGGCGCGCTCGGCGGGCCGCGGCGCGGCGAACGGCGACTCGCCAGATCGAGCGGCTCGGCGACCACTGAGCTCATGGTGTCGCGGGGTGGCCAGCTTCGCTTGCAACGCGAAGAAGCGGTCGTGGTAAGAGCAGAAAAAAAGCGAAGAGCCCACACGACATCCCACCGCCACGGCGGCGAGAGAAAAAAGAATTTCGCAGCTCCTGGGCTTCGCGCTTGGCCAAATCCACCCTCCTCTGGTGTTGGTGTTCGTTTTGACCTCGTTGTGCCGCCATGGCGGACAAGGGCGGGCTCGTCCAGAAGATCGAGAAGATCCAGCTCGCGCTCGGCGGCTTTCCCAACGGCGGGACGATCACGGGCACGATCCGAACCGCCAACGCGCACCTCAGCCTCACGCTGCGCGGCGGGCTCGTGCAGCAGGCGGATCAGCTCCTCGCGGCTCTGCACGGGGAGAACGGCGACGGCGGATTCATCGCCGAGGCGGAGACCCTCCGCACCGAGCTCGGCCTCGAACCGGCGCCGCTGCTGCCGCTGCTCGAAGAGGCAGCAAAGCAGCTTCGGCTTGAGGCGCCGCTTGAGGGGAGCATGCAGGCGCAGCTGGCGCAGCTGGGCCGCGCGCTGCAGGAGCGCAGCAAGCAGCGGGGCAAGGAGGAGGACAACGGTCTGCCGGCCAAGGTGGAGAAGATCCGGGACGCGCTCGGCCTCGACTCGGCGCCTCTTCCGGTGCTCATCAGCACCGCAATCGAGCAGCTCGAGCTGCCAGCCATGGACGGAGGGCTGGTGCAAAAGGCGGACGCGATCCTGCTCGCGCTCAACGGAGACGGCACGGCCGACGACCTCCCCGCCGCCGCGCCAGCCCCGGCCGCCCCCCCTTCTCCGCAAGCCTCCCCCCCTCCCACCGCCGCGCCCGCACCCTCGCCCGCATCGGACGACGCGCATTCGGCCGGGCGCAGTCCGGCGCGGCAGGAGCCGCCGGCTGCGATGCCGCGCGAGGCGACACCTGCGAGCGGCGGCAGCCCGGCCCCCGCCGACCGGGCCATCCGCCCTCCGACTTCGCCTGCTGCCCCTCTGGCAGCTGCCCCTGCGCCTGCGCCTGCTGCGCCTGCGGCCGCTGCGCCGGCAGCGGCGCCTCAGCTGAGCGAGGCGCTGGACGGGCCCCTCGCTGCGGCGTCGCAGGCGTCGCGAGGCTACCTCGGCTCCCAGGGGCTCCTCCCCGTGCCCGCCGCGGGGGCAGAGGACGGAGGCAAGGGCGCCGGCGGGCGGGGCCGGGGCGGCGGCCGGGGGGCAGGAGGAGGCGGCGGCGAGGGGAGTGGCGGCGCAGCGCCGCAGGGGTCGCGGGTCGCCGACTACGGCAACGGCGCGGCGGCGGAGGGCGGAGCCGAGAAGAAAACTGGCAAGGTGCCGCCGCCAGATGTCTCCCCCCCCCCCCCGGCTCTTGTGGCGGGAGACGGCGATACCCCCTCCCCTCGGCAGACACTCCTCCTCGCACACTCCTCCTCGCCCCCCACCCGCCAGCCCGCCGAAGCGCAGCCCGCCGGGGCGACCGCGCCGCGCCGCGCCCGGCTGCAGGTCGGCGACCTCTACTGGCACTGCGGCGGCTGCCGCACCCAAAACTGGGCAACGCGAGGCACTTGTCGCCGGCGCGAGCTCTCGCCGAGATGCGCCCGAGATGGCCCCGAGATCGCGGCTCGTGCCGCCGGTGCGCGCCAATCGAGTGGGAGTTGCCCAGCCTGCCCCGAGCCTGCCCCGAGCCTGCCCCGAGCTTGACCCGAGCCTCCCCCGAGGGGCAGGTGCGGCGAGGGGAGGCCGAGCGAGGTGGTGATGCTTCAGGGCGCACAGAGGTGGAGGAGGCTGCTCGGACGCGTCTCGGAGTGGTGCCGTAGGCAGCTATGCTGGCGGCGCAGGAGGGCATGCCCGGCGTGCGGCAGGCGAGAAGACGCCTCTCCCCTCGGCGCCTCCCTGGACCCTCCCCGGCACCCTTCCGGCACCCTTCCGGCACCCCTTCCGGCACCCTTCCCCGACCCCATCCCAGACCCCTCCCAGACCCCTCCCCAGACCCCTCCCCAGACCCCTCCCCAGACCCCTCCCCAGACCCCTCCCCAGACCCCTCCCCAGACCCCTCCCCAGACCCCTCCCCAGACCCCTCCCCAGACCCCTCCCCAGACCCCTCCCCAGACCCCTCCCCAGACCCCTCCCCAGACCCCTCCCCAGACCCCTCCCCAGACCCCTCCCCAGACCCCTCCCCAGACCCCTCCCCAGACCCCTCCCCAGACCCCTCCCCAGACCCCTCCCCAGACCCCTCCCCAGACCCCTCCCCAGAC